AAAGAAAAGAAAAGAAAAGAAGAAAAGAAAATGTGGTATGTATACACAATGGAATACTACTCCGTGATCAAAAAGAATAAACTCACACTATTTTGCAGCAACTTGGATGGAGCTGGAAGGGATTATGCTCAGTGAAATAAATCAGAAGGAAAATAAATATAGAAGGCTTTTATTTACATGTAGAATATTCAGAAACCAAACAAAGGATCAGGAGAAAGACAAAACTTGCAAGCTGACCATAGATCTGAGGCATCCAGCAGGGGACAGGGGAGACAGTGGTTAAAACAGGGGCGGGAAGAGCACAAGGGACTGTGGTGATGGATCCAGGTGCTGTAGTAGTAGAAGAACTAAGGGGGCTATACCTGAGGGGAGAAATCAAATACTGTAGAAAAATAAACAACAACATAAGACAATAAATATAAATGTAATAAAAAAAAAAAAAAAGTTAAGGGCCTCGCTGGTGGTGCAAGGGGTTAAGACGCAACCTATGAAGCTGTCCACAGCCTTTGCAGCACGAGTTTGATCCCCAGCTGGTCAGGGAGCAGCCACATGTCACAGCAGACCTCTCCTGACTGGCCTGCTGCTCCCCTCAGCAGTATACTTCGGTCAATCTTCCTGTTCTCTTCCCCACTCTGTCTCTGGTGAATCCTCTCACCCCCCACACCTCTGGCCTGTACTACAGCTCTTGTATGCATAAATAAATAAATCGTTTTAAAAAATGTTTTAAAAAAAACAAAATTAAATTTAAAAAATTTGTCTTAAGTGTGCTAGGTACATGGAAACTGACAAGTGTTAGCTTCAACATCCCTTTAGTTCAGGATGCTGTTAACCAAGACAGATAAGCATTGATGCAGGATACCCCCCACCAATCTTTACAAAGCAAAGAGCAGCGGCAAAGCGTGATGACACTCTCACCCAAAAACAATTCACAGCAGTGCACAGAAGGCTGCATCCTCTAAAGTCTTGATGCCTCCTAAATTCAGGGTCACGAGACCTCCTGAGAGCTAGCACCAGTGTGGAATAGTAAGGAGTAGGTTTCTAGTCCTATCAAGGGGATTCTAACTGATATGAGAAGTCCCTACTGACTGACAGGTCTTATGCTCCCTGCCCCACCCTCACCTGATTTAGGGTAGGTACAGATGAGGAGATCATCTGACTTGGCCTCAAAGTTCTGGATCTGGCTCCAGTTGTCCACAGTTGCAGCCTGCAGGGGGACCCCTGCCACCTCTCTCATTTGTGGAGGTCTTCCCAGCTCTGCGGTCAGCGCCATACTCTCCAGGAACGGCAAGGGGACTTTTCAAGACACAACACAAAATATTTACCATTTCCACCATGGTTAAGTGCACTGTTCCATGGCAGTCTCACTGTGCAATCATCACTAACATCCAAATTCTCTAAACTGAAACTGTAACCACTAAACACTGGTTTCCCATATCCCTCTCCTCTTTGTGAAGCTAAAAAATACTCCATTATATACTACACATTGCTTATCCCTTCATCCATACACACACAATGAATTGTTTCCAACTTTTTACTTTTATGAATAATGCTGCTATGAACTTCAGTATACACATTAGTTAGGTTGTTGGAAAAGTCATGATGCATTTTTTCTTCTGACAACCCAATATTTCCAAGATAATACTTTCAGAATTAGAACTGTTAGGCCATACGGTAATTGTTAAGTTTAACTTTTTTGAGTAACTGCAGTACTGTTTTGGCAGTATCTCCACCATTCTCCTTCCCACAGCCGTGCACAAGTGTCCCATTTTCCCTATATCCTCACTGATGTGTGTTATTTTTATATAAAAAATTTTTATTATAGCCATCCTAATGGATAAATTTCTATTTGTGTTCTTTGCCCACTTTTGTTTGGGTTGTCTGGTTTTTTGTTGTTTCATTGAGATAAACATTTAAATATATGTTAAAAGAGGCAAGAGAAGTGAGTCAGTATTATTACAGAATAATTAGCTAGAAGGATTCCAGAACATATTTTATGCTACTAATGCCAGTAATAGTGAAAGCCTATTAAACATCATTTGCTGACCACATCAGTTTGCATGTGCTCAGCTGAGTGACTGATATATGTTAAGTCATTTTAACCCTCACATAAAATGTATGAACTGAAAAAAGTCTTACAAAAAATGTGACAGTAAATGATTATTGGAAATTGAATGAAAGAAACTAGCCCAGCCTTTCTGTGCATGTGTGAGAACTGGGTAAGTTCTGAGTAAGACCCATTTCATGGTGGCTTCTAGCACTTTAGGATAGAGACTATGTGTTCAGAAAATGAAAGACAAACAATTTCTGGGGTAAAAATAAAATATAAGAAGCAACTATGCTTATTTTGTGCCAAAGGAGAGAGTGTTCAGGTGATAACCCTAAGACTGTGGTCAACTTCAGTAGGGACTCTGGGAGATAACTGTTTCTTTCAGGCCTTCTATGTTTGTTCTTTTATAAATTTTTCTTTTCACTTTTAATTCCATCAGAGTGTGATCAGGAAGTGTGAGGTGATAGAAAATATGTATATTTGTCTCTGCCTCAGTTCCTAACATGGAGCTCCTGAATCCATTTACTTCCTAACTAATACAAGCTCTCGAAGCATCTCTTATCCTATGATCCAGTCTTAGAACCTCTGGCCTGAGCTTTAAAAAACCTGTAACTTCCTAAGTGATAAGAGCAGCAGGAGCATCTTTTGGTCTAATGAGGTGACTGTAGGTGGGCTCCTGGGTGGGACTGGGCACCAGAAAGACCAAGACATGAATACAGAAAACCGGGCCAAGAAGCCAGAGAGCACAGGAACCAGGGGGCTTGGTTGCTGCCTGCTAGCCTCCCCATCTGCTGGTTGCCTGTGTATCTGGTCCCTCTATTCTCTTGAAAAGGGAGGAAGGCTCATATAGAGTTAATGATAAATCCTGCCTACATGATGAAGACTCCTGGAAAAACCCCAGTAGTGTGAGGTTTGGAGAGTTTCCATGTTGGTGAAAATGTAGGCAGTGGTGTGCCATGAGAGTACATGGAAGCTCTGATACCATGAAGATCATAGTGGGTTTTTCCTGCTTCTGTTTATCTTGCAAGAACAGCAGGGTGGGCTTGAAACAGTGGGACAAAAATACCCCCACCCATTTTATTTTATTTTATTTTTCATTTTTTATTATATCTGGACTAAAGAAGATGGGAATATTGGTGTATGTAATTTTAAGTGAGATAAAATTTCATTAATTTAGAGATATCAAGTTGACATTTTGCTTTTTTTTTTTTATAGATGAATGAGTTTCCTCTTATTTATTTATTATTAAATTATTTATTTATTTATTTATTTATTTTTCCCCCCCATTCTGACCCCAATCCCTCCCCTCCCGCCCCCGCCCCCCTAAAAGTGTCTCTGGTTCATAGTTTTTTGTTGATTTTGATTTTCACTTTCTTAAAGTTATTCATTTTCCTGGTCCCTTATTTAAGTTTTCTAGATTCCTGTTATGAGTGAGACCATCCGGTATTTTTCTTTTTCTTTTTGGCTTATTTCGCTGAGCATGATCCCTTCCAGTGCCATCCATGTTGCTGCAAATTGCATGTGTTTATCTTTTTGAATGCTGAGTAATATTCCATGGTATATATGTACCACATCTTCTTGATCCAGTCATCTATTTTTGGGCATTTGGGTTGTTTCCAAAGCTTAGCTATTGTAAACAGTGCTGCAATAAACATAGGGGTGCAGGTGCTCTTTGGAATTGATGTTTCTGTGTCTTTTGGGTAAATACCTAGGAGTGGAATTGCTGGATCATATGGAAGTTCTATGTTTAGTAGGTCCAGAAATCTCCACACAGCTTTCCATAGTGGTTGGACCAGTTTGCACTCCCACCAACAGTGCGGAAGAGTTCCTTTTTCTCCACACCCTCGCCAACATTTGTTGTTGCTAGTTTTTTTAATATGTGCCATTCTCACTGGTGTAAGATGGTATCTCATGGTAGTTTTGATTTGCATTTCCCTGATAACAAGTGATGTTGAACATTTTTTCATATGCCTGTTGGCCATTTGCATTTCCTCTTCAGAGAAGTTTCTTTTTAGCTCTTCTGCCCATTTTTTGACTGGATTATTTTCTTTGTTGTTGTTGAGTCTCGTCAGCTCTTTGCAGATTTTTGTGATCAGTCCTTTATCATTAGTGTTGGGTGCAAAAATGTTCTCCCAGTTGGTGGGGTTTCTCTTTGTTTTTGTTATTGTCTCTTTTGCTGTGCAGAAGCTCTTTAATTTGATGTAGTCCCAGCTGTTTATCTTTGCCTTCACTATCACTGCTTTGGGTGATGTGTCTGTAAAGATGTCTTTGATGTGCAAATCACGTAGTGTTTCGCCTATATTTCCTTCTATATATTTTATGGTTTCAGGTCTTATGTCTAGTTCTTTAATCCATTTTGAGTTGATTTTTGTGTATGGTGTGAGGTAGTGGTCAAGCTTCATTCTTTTGCATGTAGCGACCCAGTTTTCCCAGCACCATTTATTGAACAAACTTTCTTTGCTCCAATGCATAGTCTTTGCTCCTTTGTCAAAGATTAGTTGACCATAAATCTGTGGGTTTATTTCTGGATTTTCTATTCGATTCCATTGGTCTGTATGTCTGTTCTTGTTCCAATACCATGCAATTTTGATGATTATGGCTTTGTAGTAGAGTTTGAAGTCTGGGAGTGTGATGCCTCCATTCCCTTCTTTCTTTTTTTTTTCAGGAGAGCTTTGGCTATTCGGGGTTTTTTGTGATTCCATATGAATTTCATCAATAATTGTTCTATTTCTTTGAAGAATGCCATTGAGATTTTGATTGGAATAGCATTGAATCTGTATATTGCTTTTGGTAGGATGGCCATTTTAATAATGTTTATTCTTCCAATCCATGAGCAGGGGATGTCTTTCCATTTCTTTGTGTCTTCTTCTATTTCTTTTAACAGTGTTTTATAGTTTTCTTTGTATAGGTCCTTTACCTCTTTTGTTAGATTTATTCCCAAATATTTGATTTTTTTTGTTTCAATAACAAAAGGGATGGTTTTTTTTGATTTCTTCTTCTTCATATTTATTGTTTGTGTATAGGAAGGCTACTGACTTTTGCGTGTTGATTTTGTATCCTGCCACTTTACTGAACTGACTGATGAGTTGAATTAGTTTTTCTGTGGAGTTTTTGGGGTTCTCTATGTATAATATCATATCATCTGCAAATAGTGATAGTTTGACTTCTTCTTTTCCTATTTGGATTCCTTGGATGTCTTTCTCTTGTCTTATTGCTCTGGCTAGGACTTCCAGTATTATATTGAAAAGCAGTGGTGAGAGTGGGCATCCTTGTCTTGTTCCAGATCTTAATGGAATTGCTTTCAGCTTTTCACCATTGAGAATTATACTGGCTGTTGGCTTGTCATAGATGGCCTTTATGATGTTGAGGTATGTTCCTTGTATCCCAAGAATTTCAAGGGCTTTTATCATGAATGGGTGTTGCACTTTGTCGAAAGCTTTCTCAGCATCTATTGATATTATCATATGGTTTTTATATTTCTTTTTGTTGATGTGTTGGATAACGTTGATTGATTTTCGGATGTTAAACCATCCTTGTGTTCCTGGAATGAATCCTACTTGGTCGTGGTGAATTATCTTATGGATACATTGTTGGATTCTGATAGCTAAAATTTTATTGTGGATTTTTGCATCCGTGTTCATTAGGGAGATTGGCCTGTAGTTTTCCTTTTTTGTGTTGTCCTTGTTCAGTTTTGGTATTAGTGTAATATTGGCTTCATAGAATGTGTTTGGTATTGTCCCTTCCTTCTCAATTTTTTGGAAGAGTTTGTGAAGGATAGGCACTAATTCGTCTCTGAATGTTTCGTAGAATTCATTTGTAAATCCATCAGGTCCTGGGCTTTTGTTTTTGGGGAGGTTTTTGATTACCATTTCAATTTCGCTGCTTGTAATTGGTCTGTTTAGGTGTTCTATTTCTTCTTTATCTAGCTTTGGGTGATTGTAGAGTTGTAGGAATTTGTCCATCTCCTCTAGATTGTTAAACTTGTTTCCATATAACTGTTCATAGTAGTTACTGATTATTCTTTTGATTTCTGCTGTGTCCGTTGTGATTTCTCCTCTTTCATTGATGATCCTGTTTATTTGTGCTTTCTCCCTTTTTTCCTTTGTGAGCCTGGCTAGGGGTTTGTCTATTTTATTGATTTTTTCAAAGAACCAGCTCTTGGTTTCATTGATCTTTTGGATTGTTTTTTTAGTTTCAATTTCATTTATTTCTGCTTTGGTTTTTATTATTTCTTTTCTTCTACTGG